TTAATTTTAGCCATTCTGACTGGTGTGAGGTGGTATCTCACTGAGGTATTGATTTGGATTTCCCTGATGCCGAGCGATGTTGAGCACTTTTTCATGTGTCTCAACCACCCCTTTTCTGACTGGTCCAATCCACCTCCATCCTCTTAGCCTCCACAGCTTGGAGTCACCCAAACCCTAAATCATGGCTTTTTCCTCCTTCAAACCACACCTGCCGTTTGTTGGTTTCTTCCATTGCTACTGTATTGCTCTGACTCATGCCCTCATCTCTTGACCCACGGGCGGGAAAGAGAGTGAATGGTTGGACGGAGAGGCCAGATCTCAATCTCATTTCTGTCAATTTCAAGCTAGGGGATCTTGGACAACTTTTCACATCTGGAGGAAGGGGTGAAGTCAGCAGCCCCACGGGGGAGGGTCATGAGGGCTAAAAACAATGGACACAAAGCACAGACTGAGATGCACACCCTTGAGAGAGTCCCACTAGATAATATAATTTCTCACTCACCTCTATGTCCTCAGTTTCCCCCATCTGTAAAGTGAGGACAGTAGCACATGCCTCAGAGGTGGTGGGGGAGATTTAATGAGTCAGCATTTGGGGCCCATGAGGGCAGCCCCTGGCAGACTGTGAGGGCCATGAACGTGCTGGCTCTGTTACCAGCCCCCCTTCCACTGCCCGATCTGTTCTCTAAAAGGCACAGAAGAGCAGTCAGCCTTGGTGCCCTGCTTAGGGCTGTTTCAACATACTCGTTTGTTTTTCCTCCCTGCCCAGGAGTGGGGCTGACTGAGGGCTCACCGCTTCCCCTCTCTAGCCGCTGGCCGCTCGGCTGCACATAGGAGAGCCTCAAAATACCAAATGAATATCTCTTAAGGATTGTGTTCTCCTTGGAGGAATTCTTTGGCTAGCTATATTGTTTTCCTATCTTTTTTTTGGACTTTTTATTACAGACACATCTGGGCAGCTTCACGAGGCCTATTTTCAAACCTCATGAAATTACTGGAGGCAGGAGAGGAATGCCCCATTCTGCTGGGGTCCAGCAAAAAGTGCACGGCGCCACAGCCTCCACCAGGCTTTATAAGAAGCCGCCGATGGCAGCAGGCTTTGTGGACAATGGACTCAGACAGAGGCAAATGAGAAATGGCTCTGAGGGGCCTGGCCTCCAGGAGGGTGTCTCTCTGGGACTCAAGAGGCCAGTTCTTCAAGACTGAGTCTCTTCTTACTGAACCCCAGGTCTCAGAGCCTATCAAGGTGGAGTCTGTCCTGGGAAGTGCCCAGAATTCCCTCCGCTCTGCTTTAAGCTAAGCAGTATGACACGGTCTTTTCTGGATTTAAAGAGGAGCCATTCATCACGATGAACAATGTCTGTCTAAATACATCCCATCCCACATGCAAACCCCCTTATGTGAGTTTCTGTACCATTTACTTGTTCCTAAGAAGCACTTTGTGCTGCACATCCCAGCAATTTTGTTACTTTAGATATTCACCGAGTCATTTATATCACAAGTTAGTGAGATGCTGTGAAAATGACCATGGCTAAGTAAGAGAAAAGCTTGCTTTTGTGGTGCCAGTGGGTTTCCACACTGGGCATATTCATCAATATCCTATTTTCTTCAAAAATATCAGTGGCACACTGTGGATTCATTTTTAGCTTGCTATCTACCCTTAACTCGCAGATTCATAGATATGAAGGGGAATTGTGGAGTCTGTCCGGTCTAGGGATGACAAATATATTCCATCCCTGGAAACATCTCTGAATGATCAATGGATAGTAGCTTCCAGAGCACTGTATTGGGAAAGATACTCAGGCCGAGCTGGGGACAATTAGCCATATCTGCCATAAGTATGGTGACAGAATGGGGCAACGCACATGCCACTTATTAGCCATCCCAGACTGTTTCACCCCTCTAGTCTGCAGATAAAGGAGTTTGAAGATTCTTTCAAGATCACACAGTCTCTGTCTCTGCTCCCCAGCGGTAGAATTGGTGTTCGCACCAACCCCCAACCCTCCACCGCTGAACAAAAATTCACAGATAAAGCAAGGTTATGGGGAGTGTGGCAGATGGAGAAAGGCAGCAAAAATCAAGGCTTTGAAAAATTGGGTAAGAGCAGACCATCAAGTAGGAGCAAAAGCTAGCCACACCCAGCTGGGAACACACCATTATTATTGTCATTGTTTGGTCTGGGTCTTGCTGTGTGCCTTTCCTTTCTATCAAGAAACCAGAGTCTTTAAACTCTTGATGAAGAAGGGGTAGGTGAGTCCACGGTAGCAAAAAGTCTCTGGATGACACAATCAGGAAGTCTAAAGGGCAGTTGGTAGCATTCTTAAAGTGTGTAAACATACACAGGTACAAGGATCAGCATACGTGTGCATCTTGAAAGGAATGGACATTAGATCATGGCAAAGGAGTGGTGCCATAAGCAATGGCTGTCTTGTTATACAACTCTAGTGGGCGACTGTGTTCTTGCCTGCTCAAGGACCATTTCCCATCCTCAGACAACAGCATGCTAATTTACTTTGAGTAACTACCTATCTTTCACTCTCCACCCACATGTCTTTGGTGGGGCTGACTCCACCCTGGCTTCAGAATGAGACACGTGGTGACTCAGACTTAGCCAACTAGAGCATGGCTACCCAATGGACACAGTGACTAGTTCAAGGATGGACACGTGATCTAATGAGAGCAAATAAGATTTGATTTCAAGCATTTGTTGGCATTATCAGGAAGAGGTGCTTTCTCAGGGGACTTCAGGCTGGGAAAACGAAGTAGAGCTGCTGAGATCTCCACATTGGAAGGCAGAGAAGGATGTGACTGTCTAAGAGTGAAGCCAACAGAAGGAAAATAGAATCACAAAACGGGTAAGGATCAAAGCTGGTGTCATAACTGGGCACTGGTACACAGCCACGCCTGAAGGCAGAGTTATTCTGAAATATTTGCCCCATTAGCCAATAAATTCTCACATACCACCTCCCCCGAATAGTTTTTTGAGTTGGGTTTTTGTCCTTCGCAACAACAAAGAAGTCTTGGCCAGTAATAAACCAAAGAACTATTTTCCACATAAGACATACAGACCCCAACGTTCCTCTGTGGACCCAGTTTATCCCAAACAGCTGTGTTACCTGCAAGGAGCCCTGGATGTCTTTCCCCCCGACAATCATGAGTTCTGCCATGTCTTCTGCATGGGGAGTCCGGGCATGGATGAACAGAGTCTTGCCTACCGCAGTTATGTTTTTCAGGGCAACTAAGCTGCCATCATTGTTCACCTTGAAGTATGGGCTTGAGACCTCATAGTGTAGCTTGTTGTTTCCTTTGCAGTCACTGAAGGTCACTGGGGAAAAAAACAAACCAAAACAGAACAGGTGAACAAAAACAGAAGGACTGTGAGTAGGTTGGGCAGCTTACTGCTGGAGAAATCTCTGACCATTAAATGTGGGTCACTGCTCCCCACCCAAATCTACAAATGCTTCCCCTTATCCTACAGCACCCCCCTGTAGCTCTCTGGCTTTGACTGTGCTGGCAAACTTCATTCATTCTAGATCTGTCCTTGATCACCTGCCATGTTCCAGGCAGGTACTAAGCACTGAGGATGCAGAGATGAACAGGATCTTTTAAGATAGCAGCTCAGGGTTCCAGAGAGTGGTTTGAGAGAGAAGAGAGGCCAGTCAGTCTGGTGTTGTACCAGTGACGCCTGGCCCAGATTAACACAGAAAACCAGTCAGTCTGGTGTTGTACCAATGACGCCTGGCCCAGATTAACACATTGGTGGGATAGATGTGGACAAAAATTCCTATAGTTGAATGGCTAAGTCATGTTTGGGAAGGACCAGGAGAAGCAGCTGTTCTTGTGGGCAAGCACAGAATTGTACTGCTGGCCTTCCTTCCTCACCCCACTTCTGTTTCCTCAGCTCTCTACTGAACAGACTTGTTTGTTTAGTAAACCTTTAACTGAAGCATAATACAGATACAGAAAAAGCACATAAATCAGAATGTACAACTTGATGTATTTTCATAAAGTGGGCAGGCCCACATACTCAGGGCCTAGGCCCAGATACAAATACTACCAACCTTCCCCTGCCCCTCCCTCCTGAGCCACAATCCCCAGCTTCCTCCTTGAAGGCTGCACAATGCTGACTTCTAAAACCATAGGTCTGTTCCACATGCGTTTGCACTTCATAAAAACGGGATCATCCAGTGTGTGCTCTTTTGTGTCTGGATTCTTCCACTGGATATTATGTTTGTGAGATTCGTCCATGTGTCTGTGAGTCACAACAGTTATTCCTAACCACTGTGTAGTACTCCAGTATGTGGCTCTAATGAATTTCTCTTGATGGGCATTGGGGCTATTTCCAGTTTGGGGCTCTCAAAATATTGCTTCAAGGAACTTTCTTGCGTGTCTTTGGTGACAACATCTACCTTGGTCTGAGCACACTGTTAAAGCCATATAAATATTTGATGAACTAAGCTGATCTTTCTGTTCTGGGAGATAATTCTTACGGTGATAATAACCATATTAGCTGATGATGATAATAGCTAACGTGAATTGAACATTTTCCACACGCGAGGCTAAGTGTCAAGCATTTTACAATGCATTATCTTATTTAATCTGCACAACGAATGAAGTACTTTTTTGACCCCCGTTTATAGATAAGGTAACTGAGACTTGAAGAGAGCAAAGGAGGTGCTTCCCACAGTTTGTAAATGTGGAGAGACACATAAATTGTTTCATTATTATCTATTAGCATTCATCCACTGAAGGCACACTGCTCAAATGACAGGGCCTGCTGGATGGCCAGGATGCTGGCTGGTTCTGGCCCTGGCCCCTGGGCAGGACCCAAGAAGACAGACCAAACTGGGGAGGACTGGGAGTGAGGAAAGACATACAAAAGTTTGTGGGGTTCTAGTTCCACCTTTCCCTTCCTTTCCTTCCTTTCTTCCTTCCCACATCCATTACTCCCTTCCACAAATATTAACTAGGAATCTATATTATGCTAGATGCTGGGTTTATAATGTTGAGCAAAGATGGACACAGTCCCTGGGTTGACGTATAGTCGGAGAGAGAAAGACAGTAATTCAATACCCTTATAAGTAACAGAGGACCTACTCCAGGCAGAAAGAGCCACATGTGCAAAGGTCCAGTGGCATTCAGGGGATTGCAAATAAGCCAGTGAGATGGGCACAAAGAGCAAGGGGGAAAGTGGGGAACAGAGAGTGGAGATCAGCTGGAAATGTGGGGCCTGGAGGCCACATTAAGACTTATTCCTTGAAAAAAGATTTGGACCCTCCCAATACAACTATAGAACCAACTTGCCTCTACCTGAGTCTCAAACAACTACAGCTCCCCGGTGCAAATGATGCCAGCACCCAAGGTCCTCCATAGCTAAGCTGTCCATTGGCCTCACCTCTGGCCTCTGCCCTCACTCTGTGCCTCACTCATTACTCACCCCTGCTCCAGCCTACACATACTGTATTCTCCCACCCCTCTGCTCATTTTGCTCCCTCTGTGCAGAAGTCACTTCCCACCTTCCTCACCCTGTTAAATCTTAGCCATTCTACAAGAGTCAGCTCCATAACTTGTTCAAATATCCTCTTTGTGTTCCCCAAGTTTCCTGTACACAGGATCTTTTATATCATGTTATAGCAATATGTCCATTTTATGTATCTATTTTTCTCATCAGAACCAAGAGCCGAGGGGCGCCTGGGTGGCTCAGTCAGTGAAGCATCTGCCTTCAGCTCAGGTCATGATCCCAGAGTTTTGGGATCGAGTCCTGCATCGGGCTCCCTGCTCAACAGGGAGCCTGCTTCTCCCTTCCCTGTTGTCTGCCACTCCCCCTGCTTGTACTCTCTCTCTCAAATAAATAAAATCTTTTTTTAAAAAAAGAACCAAGATCAGAAATTGAATCTTTCTTCTTATTATGCATTTCTATATCTCTAGCAATGAACAGAATGCTTTTGCATACAGGAGGCCATCAATAATGATTATACTTAATTCAGTTGCTCTCTAGGGGCAAAATGATACTCTAATAGGGGTGGACTGAGGGCATGGTACTTCTTTAATGCTGGGAGCAGAAGCTGCTGCAAGCAAGGGCAGGAATTGAGAAAGAAGGTCCCTAGGCCATTCTTGTCTTAGATGAGCAGGGGGAGGAGCAGAGGGAGAGAATTCCAAGCAGGCTCCAAGCCCAGTGCAGAGCCCAACTTGGGGCTGGATCTCACAACCCTGAGGTCATGACCTGAACTGAAATCAGGAGTCAGATGCTTAACCAACTGAGCCACTCAGGTGCCACTACTGTCATGAAATTTCAATGGCACAGATATACTGCATGTCTGTGTACTTATGTACCTCTGTGCTTTATACACACACACAAAGGCAATGTTTCGCCCCTCCCCCATGCCAGCCTCTTGGGGGTATCATAGCTCCACTGAAAATGCATACTCTAAAAGCATCGTTTTCCATTTTACGGGAAAACAGACTGAGCCTCTGATATTGACCAACTTGCTCGAGTTCATACACCTAGAGAAAGCAGGAACCTGTCCCCAGTCCATCTGTCTACCTCTATAGTTTAAACTCTCAGTACACTCATCTCCTGGGAATTGATGCATAAGAGGGAATAGGGCAGTTACCCCAGCCTGACCCCTGAAGGCCACTCACGAATCCCTCTGGGCTTCTCAGAGGTCCCAAATAAGGGCGTAGTGAGAGACCACATCTACATTCAGGATCTGGCACAACATAGGCACCCAATACAGTCTAGCTTTCTTCCCAGCTTGCTCTATCAAATAACTAAGGATTGCAAAACTGGGTCTCTGTTTTAGACACCTTTACCAGTTCAAGAGCAGATGCTCTAGACTGTGGTTTTTTCAAGGCTATGAGAATCATCTGGAGAGCATTTTAAAACATAGCAATACCTCTTCAACTCCCAACCAAGATTCTGATATAACCAGGCTGGGCTGGGGTCTGGGCATTGGTATCCCTTTAAAGTTCCCCAGATGAATCCAATGCAGCTAAGGGCCAAAAACCAGGACCTCAGACAATGGACTGCTTGTCAAGATGCCAGGTTTCCACATTTCCCAGCCATCCCTGGCACAGAGAGGAGGCTGGGGACCTAGCATGCCAGGAACCACTCTTCCCATGCCCTAAGAAAGGGCAGTTTTAATGGTAGGTTTCTAAGCCATTTTCCAAACCTGGCACATGTGCAGCAGCCCTGTGACCTTGGGCAGACCACCCATCCTCTTTGTACCTCAATGTCTTCATCTGTAAAGTGGGACAAATAGTAGTACCTCCCTCACAGGTACTGTAATTCTTATGGTGAGCATTCAACATGATCATACATACCTACATGCATAAAACACTTAGGATGGTGCTCCATGAATAAGAATTATTACCATCATTACTCCTGTAATTATGGGCATTAAGGGAGCTACTTTTTTTCCTTTTTCTACATAGCTTCCTGCTTCCAGCTAGTTTTCCACCTGCCTCCTGGGTCCTTCCATCTCTTTCTAGTCAGGTACCCATGCTCTGGCCTGCTGGGCCAAGTGTGGTTACCATGGAGATGGTTACTAGAGACGCCTCTGCTGGGGCCAAAGGAGTGAGGCAGATGATTCTGATCCAGCCTTGACCATCTTTGAATCTTCCTACTCTTCTTGGCAAAGCCCTACCTGTCTCACGTGAGAGGTTGTGAAGAAAAAAATGACATCAAAGAAGCAAAATCACAGTGCTCCACCTATAGTAGACTCAAGAGAGTTTCATTAAATGTTCTTTAAATGGATTGTTTGTACAGATAACTTCCTACCAATCCAAAGTCTTATTTTTCCTAAAAGCATGACACTGCACCGAAGGCTTTACACTCATGATTGCAGTGAATCCCCGCATGACCAATTTGAGGTAGATTATTTGTTTTCTCTCTAGAAACTGAGACTTAGGGGCGCCTGAGTGGCTCAGATGGTTAAGCGTCTCCCTTCGGCTCAGGACATGATCCCAGGGTCCTGGAATCGAGCCCCGCATTGGGCTCCATGCTCAGCAGAGAACCTGCTTCTCCCTCTCCCTCTGTCGCTCCCCCTGCTTGTGCTCTCTCACTCTCTCTGTCAAATAAATTAAATTAAATAAATAAATATCTTAAAGAAAAAAAAAAAAGGAAACTGAGACTTAGTGAGGTTGAATGAGGGGAAGGCCACACAGTTCATGATAGTCTGTCTGGGCAAATGTACTCCCTCCTTCAAACACTCCACATCCAGCCTCACATTTTCACCATATTTTCATAGCAGATCTATTATTCACTTAATATTTTTCCTTTATTTGTCTCACATTATTTATTCTCACAAAATTATTTGAAGATAA